GAGTTGGCTCCGATGGTGGGGAAGGATGCCGGTCAGACCTGGCAGACCCAAACGTATTGTGAGGGTTTGCTGGGAACGTCTGGCAGAGTCTCTTGTGAGACGGAGTTTCAACTCCCACCTCCGGGAGAACTTTGAACATGTTCCGAGGGAGGTGGGGGACATTGAGTCTGAGTGGACCATGTTTCGTGCCTCTATTGTCGAGGCGGCTTACCAGAGCTGCGGCCGCAAGGTTGTCGGTGCCTGTCGCGGCGGCAACCCTCGAACCCGATGGTGGACACCGTCGGTGAGGGATGCTGTCAGGCTGAAGAAGGAGTCCTATCGGGCCTTTTTGGCCTGTGGGACCCTGGAAGCAGCTGATGGGTACCGGCAGTCCAAGCGACATGCGGCTCGGGTGGTTGCTGAGGCAAAAACTCGGGCATGGGAGGAGTTCGGAGAGGCAAAGGAGAACGAGTTTCGCACGGCTTCGAGACGATTCTGGTCCACCATCCGGCGTCTCAGGGGGGGAAAGCGGTACGCCACCAACACTGTTTATAGTGGGAGTGGTGTGCTGCTGACCTCAACTCGGGATGTTGTGGGTCGGTGGGCGGAATACTTTGAAGACCTCCTCAATCCCACCGGCATGTCTTCCACTGAGGAAGCGGAGCCTGGGGACTCTGGGTCGGGCCCTCCAATCTCTGGTGCTGAGGTCACCGAGGTGGTTAAAAAGCTCCTCGGTGGCAGGGCCCCAGGGGTGGATGAGATCCGCCCAGAGTTCTTTAAGGCTCTGGATGTTGTAGGGTTGTGTTGGCTTACGCGACTCTGCAATATTGCGTGGACATCGGGGGAAGTTCCCTTGGATTGGCAGACCGGGGTGGTGGTCCCCCTATTCAAAAAGGGGGACCGTAGAGTGTGTTCCAACTACAGGGGAATCACGCTCTTAAGCCTCCCTGGTAAGGTCTATTCGGGGGTTCTGGAGAGAAGGGTCCATCGGATAGTCGAACCTCGGATTCAGGAGGAACAGTGCGGTTTTCGTCCTGGCCGTGGAACACTGGACCAGCTCTACACTCTCAGCAGGGTCCTGGAGGGTGCGTGGGAGTTTGCCCAACCAGTCTACATGTGCTTTGTGGACTTGGAGAAGGCGTTCAACCGCGTCCCTCGGGGGGCCCTGTGGGGGGTACTCTGGGAGTATGGGGTACCGGGCCCTTTGATACGGGCTGTTAGATCCCTGTATGACCGGTGTCAGAGCCTGGTCCGTATCGCCGGCAGTAAGTCGGGCTTGTTCCCCGTGAGAGTTGGACTCCGCCAAGGTTGCCCTTTGTCACCGATTCTGTTCATAACTTTTATGGACAGAATTTCTAGGCGCAGCCAAGGTGTTGAGGGGATCCGTTTTGGTGGCCTTAGGATTGCGTCTCTGCTTTTTGCAGATGATGTGGTCTTATTGGCTTCATCAGATCGTGATCTACAGCTTTCGCTGGAGCGGTTCGCAGCCGAATGCGATGCGGCCGGGATGAAGATCAGTTCCTCCAAATCCGAGGCCATGGTCTTGAGCCGGAAAAGGGTAAAGTGCCCTCTCCGGGTCAGGGAGGAGGTCCTACCCCAAGTGGAGGAGTTCAAGTATCTTGGGGTCTTGTTCACGAATGAGGGAAAAATGGAGCGTGAGATCGATAGGCGGATAGGTGCAGCATCTGCAGTGAAGCGGGCGCTGTACAGGTCTGTCGTGGTGAAGAGAGAGCTGAGGCAAAAGGCGAAGCTCTCAATTTACCGATCGATTTACGTTCCCACCCTCATCTATGGTCACGAGCTTTGGGTTGTGACCGAAAGAATGAGATCTCGGATACAAGCGGCCGAAATGAGTTTTCTCCGCAGGGCGTCTGGGCTCTCCCTTAGAGACAGGGTGAGAAGCTCGATCATCCAGGAGGGACTCGGAGTAGAGCCGCTGCTTCTCCACGTCGAGAGGAGCCAGTTGAGTTGGCTTGGGCATCTGTTTAGGATGCCTTCTGGACGCCTCCCTGGTGAGGTGTTCCGGACACGTCCCACCGGAAGGAGGCCCAGAGGAAGACCCAGGACACGCTGGAGGGACTATGTTTCTCGGCTGGCCTGGGAACGCCTCGGGATTCCCCCGGAAGAGCTGGCCCAAGTGCCTGGGGAGAGGGATGTCTGGGCCTCCCCACTTAGGCTGCTACCCCCGCGACCCGACCCCAGATAAGCGGAAGAAAATGGATGGATGGATGGACAAAAGTTACGTATTTTCTCTCATCTCCTGAATGAACGTTTTGATATATAAATGACTAAAATCACACAAATTATTCAATAACATTTTTATTGCAATACACATACAGAAGAAACTATAAACAGGGAATATCCTGATGCATGCTCAATAATCCAGGTAGAAAAATCTAAAAAAGTTTAATTCTGGTCCTCTGAACAGTCAGAAAAAAAATATAGAAACGCTTTGTTTTTCATCCGAAAGACTTCTTCAGTCTGAGGTGCTGTATTCAGCTCAGTCTTATAAATAGCACCTTCTCATAGTGGATCAACCAGTTTGCTGCTGACAACCAAAACCAGCTGCTCACATGATCAAGGAGAACCATCAGCCTAACGATGGATCATTAGCACACTGATGGCTGTTTATTATTCAGGGACACCACCAAGTCATTGGTTCACGTATGTTGACGACACTTGGGTTAAAATTAAATCTCAGGAAGTCCAACATTTCACTGATCACATCAACTCTGTGGATAAATACATCAAGTGCACACGAGAAGATGTAAAAAATGGCAGGCTGGCTTTCTTGGACTTTGAGGTCTCAGTTTCTGATGAAGGACATTTGCAAACTGAGGTGTACCGCAAACCCACACACACAGACCAGTATTTGCAGTTTGACTCCCATCACCCTTTGGATCACAAGTTAGGAGTCATCAGGACTCTGTACCACAGAGCAGCCAGCATCCCCACTAACTCAGGAGCCAGGCAGAAGTAGAAATCCCACACAAGACAGGCTCTAGAGCAATGTGGATATCCTAACTGGGCCTTCCTGAAAGCAGAGAAGAAACCCAAACAGGACTCCAGTCAGCCATCAGGTGAAAAGGAGGAACCCAGACCAGTGTTCATTCCGTATGTTGCGGGAGTATCAGAGAAACTGAGACGTTTATTTTCTAAACACAACGTCCCATTGGCTTTTAAACCCCAAAACTACATTACGGCAAAGACTGGTTCATCCCAAAGATCCAGTCCCCCGACACAGAGTAATATTGTGAATGCTGTTCAGTGTCAGGAGGGATGTGATCAGTCTTACATCGGGGAAACTAAACAGCCACTGGCCAAAAGGATGGCTCAGCACAGAAGATCAACATCATCAGGCCAGGACTCTGCGGTCTACACTCATCTCCAGGCCAGCGGTCACTCTTTCAGGGATGAAGATGTTCACATCCTGGATAGAGAAGAACGATTGTTTGAGAGAGGAGTAAAGGAGGCCATCTTTGTAAAAAGAAACAGTCCATCATTAAACGGGTGGAGGCCTTCTTGTTCAACTGTCCCCCTTTTACAATGCTGTTATTGCTAGTATCATTCAGCCCCCTGTGAATAGTAAACAACCATCAGGGTGCTAATGATCCATTGTTAGGCTGATGGTCCTCCTTGATCAAGTGAACAGCTAGTTTTGGCTGTCAACAGCAAACTGGTTGATCCACTATGAGAAGGTGCTATTTATAAGACTGAGATGATAAATGAACTGTACTTATATAGCGCCGTTCTATCTTATCCAGATACTCAAAGTGCTTTATACTGCAATCTGTGCCTCAGTTACCCATTCATACAGCACTCTACTAGATCCCTACAAAGCTAATTGAACAAATCATTCTAAAGAGTCTAATCAGTGCTTTATTACATTCATACTCTGATGGGACACACATCAGAGGCATCGAGGGATTCAGTGTCTTGCCCTGAGACACTTCGGCATGTGACTGCTAATATATTCGAACCCCCAACTCTTGCATTGGAGGATGACTGCTCTACGAATGATTTGCATGTTGGTACCACTCAGCCACAGCCGCCCCAGACTGAGCTGAATACAGCTCCTCAGACTGAAGAAGTCTTTCGGATGAAAGACGAAACATTTCTACATTTTTGTTTTGTTTTGTTTTTTGAATGTCCAGAGGACCAGACTTAACTTTTTTGGATATAAACAGGAAAACAATTGTGTGCATGCTGAACCAGCATCCTCTTTTTTTTTCTTTTCCTCTTTGTACATCTCTGATCTTCTGCATTAGTTAAATGTTAAGATACTCCAGAGCTGACTTTAGTTAATCTCTAAGGTCGTTTTCACACCAGATAGTCCGGTAGACCTTTTGTTTACATTTGAGCTGGTGAGTTTGCATTCACACTGCACTGTGCAGTCGAGTCAACCTGTTGAACCAACCGCTCGCCTGTGGGGGCGCTGCACCAAGAACTACTAAAAGAAATGACACAAAAACCTCTGAAGACACGTCTTCTTCTTCTTCTGTAAATAAAAATAAAAACGAAGTGGCATCAAGTTTTAGCAGTTTTAGGAGTTATAGTTTGTCATTTTTCAAAAATGGACTTAGCATGAGCAGAAGATGAGACAGAAGACCATGGAGAATATTGTTTTTCCACACAAGACAGCTGACGGCTCCATATAAGGTCAGAGCAATGTGTGTTTGTTTACCCTGCGGAGCGGGGCCCGGTCTGTTTACATTCACACTGTACTCGAACCGCGCTGGAGTTCGCTTCTACCGGACCGAGACCTAGGTTTTAGCCCGGGCCAGAGTTCGCCTTTTTGTTCCGTGACAGAGTTCGATGGCATGTTCACACCTCCCTAAACGAGCCGGACTTTCAAGGAAAATGAGCTAGAGTTCGATTAAAGCGGACTATAAACAGGGCTAGTGTGAATGCATCCCAAGTCAGTGCTTTCTTTAGTTTTTCAAATAATGCATTCAAAGTAAAGATGTGCAGTCATGTTTGCGATGATCTATGTTTATGTATTGACAATGTGTCTCTTCCAGGCTCTTTGGGCTCTGGACATGGCCTTGCAGCAAAATCCCAGTGATCTGACTGTTAGAGCAGAGCTATATTTCTCTAAAGGAAATCTGATGAGAGAGATGAATCAGCTGGATCAAGCCTTTGAGGTAAAACCCTGTGGTCCTTCTATTCCTCCTCTTGTCCCTCTTAATTCAACTTTCTCGTGTTTTCCCACTTCTTTTGTAACCATAGCTCTAATGATTTGCATGTTGGTACATACTTAATCCTAGCATTCATTGAAGGACTGCACCACTACCACCACTGTCAAGTAATGTCACATTTTTGTGAAATCAGTTGTTGCCCAGGAATGAAGAACCAATTTGTGCCTTCTGCCCAGAGACTGTATTATATGTGGGCAAGCATAGCAAAGGGGCCCCATATAAGGATGCAGGTGCACTCTCTATGTATTTTAAAGTTACAACTGACACAGGAAACAGATGCTTCCTGTGTGTATGGGTAAGGGCCTCTCTCAGTGTAAGCCCATATAAGGAAACAGATTTGGCCTCTTTGTGTGTGTGTGAGTCTCTGTCAGCTAAGTTGAACACAAAGGAAATTTGGTTGAATGTGTTACGAATCAAATAATAATGATTGTTGTACATGTTGATTATGCAGGTAAAATATGTGATTTAAAAACATGATTAAGTTGAACTCACATAAGTGATTATGGGAGTAGTTCTATATGATTTATAAGCTTATGATTAAGTTGAACTCTCATGGTGATTATAAAAGTAATTAAGTGTGATTATAAGTGATTAAAAGAACATGATTAAGTTGACCAAATTAAGAAAGAATCGTTGATCTAAAATGTTAGAACTGTGGGATGGCTGACATTGAACAGAATTTTCCAAGAACACTGAAGTAAGAACACAGGATGGTGGTGCCACAAAAAAAGAGTACCGTATATGGACAAGACCTTTAAAACAAGATGTTTTCTGGGTTCCGAGAAACTCCCTTTGTGTGTTTTCTGGGTTCCGAGAAACTCACTTTGGATGACAGTTTAAAGGACCAATCAGAAGGTTACAGCAGATGGCTGCATTGTAAAGACTACTTTAGAACATGTTCAGACTGGTCTGAACCGGTTTAGGAGCTATAAAAACCTTTCACAGCCTTGGAACTGGGCTGAACGGATCGGGGGCTGGAAGAACACAAAACGATATTGAACCTGCTCTTAAAAGCTACAGAGAAAGATTTGGACAACCCTAAAACCTTAAAACCCTGGTTCTAGAATTGCGCTGCTCAAGGTGGCTACATGTTGGAGCAGCTCTGTTACTTTCATTCTGAGCTTTTGCTTTTGGAAACTTTAATTCCTCTTTTTCGGGATGTAAGTCACATTTTTTGGATGATTGTTTTCTTTGGTATCAGATCCTGTGCAGCTGGAAGGATTTTTACTGAAACTTTTTTAGTTTTGGACATTTGTTATGATGCGTAACCATGGCAACAAGGCAGTTTTCTACAACCAACAGCAGCTGATTAACATCTCAAAAGCTCAAATAATATCTCAAATACAGCCCCAAATCTCAAATGAGTTGAAAAGGATGTTCTGTGGATGCATTCTCATCCACCTGCCAGCTGTGCTCGAGTGCCTGACCACTGAGATCCTGGAACTAGCAGGAAACACGGCTCATGACAGCGGAAGGACAGGATTGTCCATCGGCACCTACAGTTTGTGTCCACAGCGACGAGGAGCTCGGCAGGCTGCTGGGAGGAGTGGCCATCACTCTGGGAGGAGTTCTGCTCAGCATTCGGGCGATCCTACAGCCCAGGGGAACCGAGAGGCCAGCTGAGTCTGGGAGGACAGATCAGACGGCATCTGCAGCCAGTTTCTTAGGATCCACTGTGGGATGGACCTTTATAAGAGATCCTTCCTGTCTACAGCCATCAGCATCTATAACTTCTTAATGAAATGAGGATAACGAGTTACAACAACAAATAATTTCCCTTTGGGATTAATAAAGTTTTTTTGAATTGAATGATTTGAAAAGAACTTATTTTTGTTTCAGCCGGGTTAATCGCCAGACCAGACTTTTTCAAATTAGGATCGCTTTTTGGGCGTAGGGTGCACTTTTCCAGGGCTCTGGAAAAGAAATTTCACTTGCCTTTAACCAAAGAATTCTTCAGACAAAGAGATGGTAAGAGACACTCTGATTTATCATTCTTTATAAATTTTATATGAAATAATAGCAATAAAAATAGTGTTTCCCCTAGATAACTTGCCATAGACAAGGATTTTGGACTCTCCAAGGAGATTTTTGGATACAGTTTTAGAGCAGGGTGTGTTAGAGGAGAGGGACAGAGACACATCTCAGCCGTGCGCTGTCTGAACCAACAGTTTTTTGGGGGGTTTTTTGGGCGGGGGAGGTCAGCGGGGAGAAAGATAGATGCACATCTGAGCCTTGCGCTATTTGTACCAACAGTTTTTGATTGGCGGGGGTGCGTTCAGCGTGAGGGTTCAACATCAAGGAAGAGGCTGCCTTTAGCTTTTTAGCTAGTGCACCTACATTGCGAGCCGCTAGTTTAGCGTTACGTCAGTGCTGACAGGTGGTTGGGTGTGGGGGGTTGGGTTAGGTAGATGAGGCGCTCGATTCTGTTGACGGGGCGGGGCGCCCCACTTGTATAATGGTAGGGGAAACACTGAAAAATACCAACAAGTAAGGAAATCAGATTAATATTATCAACGCCTTGGTTCTTGGTTCATGGAAGCCATCCCATAAAACCTGTCCTAAAAAGATCCATAACAACAACTTAGGGAGATTTCTTGTAAGTCGAGTGAGGAATTTTAAGAGTTTTTAGGGGTTTTAGCACACTATAGGGCTCTAAGGCGTGGCCGACCCCGAAAGGAAGAGAAGGCTTTCTCTCAATGGCTCACAGAGCCTCGAGGACTCACAACTCCCTAACTCAGCTCATCGCAGCGAGAAAATCACCACTCTAGTGGACTTTCAATCCTTATTTTTGTTGTAAGTTTATCTATTTTTTCTTTAATGTTAATAAGGACACAGTGTTATGCAGATAACAATTTTATAGACAAATGATACTATTTACTGTTGCGGCGGAGAGTTGGGGGTGCGCAAAATGTTTACGTCTTCCTAGTGGGGGGCATAACAGAAAATAATTGAGAAGCACTGCTTTAACAGGAAGAAACCTCCACCAGAACCAAGCTCAGGCCGAGCAGCCATCTGCTTCAACTGGCTGGGTTTGAGAGGACAAGAAGTAGAAACAGACGAAACCAGAATGGCAGTTCCAGATGTACTTTCTATTGGAAGAAAGACAAAAAAAAACATATGTTAAGGATAGTAATAATTACAAACACAAACAGGTAGAGTAGAGCAAGTAAAGACAGCAGCAGAGTGAGGAAATGTGGTCGGGTTGTCCTCCAGCAGTCTAAGCCTATATCAGCATAACTAATGGATTGCTCAGGAAACCCAATCTAACCCTAACTATAGAATTTATCAAAAAGAAAAGACTTACCGTAATTGTTGGGCTATAGAATGCACCTGATTGTAAGCTGTGCATACTAAATTTAAGATAAAACTTAATTTTGTACATACATAGGACACTTTTAAGCCATGGGTATCCACCATTTATTATCAGAATCTGTACCCAGCTCTTGGCATTATGTGCAGCTCTTGTTGTAGTACAAGAATCTGCCATCGTATGGTGTTTCATAGACTATGGCTGTCATGAGCTCAGGAGACCCAGAGAGTACGAAACCGAGATGAAGCAAACTCCACAAGGGTAAAAGTGAACAGTGTTTATTATTTACAGTGAAATAGACAATAACTTGTTTCTCCACTGGAACCCTGGAAGGCAAGGAGAGGCGTCAGGTAGGTATTCACAGAGAGAGTGAGGATTTGGATTTTGATTCCATTTTCTTGTCTTTTACAGGTTGGTTGGTTGATTGGTTGGTTTGTTGGTTGGTTGGTTGGTTGGTTGGTTGGTTGGTGGGTTGGTTGGTTGGTTGGTTGGTTGGTTGGTTGGTTGGTTGGTTGGTTGGTTGGTTGGTTGGAGGAGAGGGAGTTGGTCCAGTGGGTCGATGAAGTGGAACGCAGGCAAGTGGCTAGAGGGCAAGGAGATCCAGGAGACATGGAGATCCAGGACAGCAGATCATGGAGGAGCACGAGGAAAATCAGGTAACTGTAGCACGACAAGAGAAGATCAGTTAAACGAGCTTTTACTCATCATAACAAGGCCAGAAGCATACTACCATGGAGGAAGGTGAATACTCCAGTGGAGAGTAGAGCTCGACTGCAGCCTTATGTAGAGCTGGATCCTTGATGGCGAGATGACCTGCAGGTGTGGGTGATTAGTGGTCATCTTGGATCCAGGAGCTGCAGAAGGTCATACTCTCACTATGAATCTTCATAGTTGAAGGTAATTGGAACCGGACTGCGGAAGTGTTGATGATCCTTTCTATGGAAAGGGTCAGATGAAGTGTGGGGCCATCTTTCTTGGTTTGTCCTTCAGGTGGATATCCCTAGTGGATAACCAAACCTGTTGCCCCACTTGGTATGCTGGTGCGGTGAAACAGTGGCAGTCAGCGAACCATTTGTTCTGGGTGACTGATCGAAGAAGGGCAGCCCTGGTTTGTTGCCAGACCCTTCGACAGTGCTGAAAATGATGCTGCACGGAAGGTACGGTAATCTCGGTCTCCTGGCTGAGGAGCATCTGAGGGTGGTCTCCAGCTCCTGATTGCCTCACTCCGTTTGACCATTAGACTGTGGGTGATAGCCAGAAGTTAAACTTGAGGAGGCTCCCAGAGCCTTACAGAAATTTCACCAAACCTGTGAAACAAATTGCAGTCCCCAGTCAGAGACAACATCAGAGGGGATGCCTTGAATCCTAAACACATGTTGGATCATAAGTTGTCCAGTCTCAAATGCAGATGGAAGCTTGGGCAAAGGAATGAAATGTGCTGCTTTGGAGAATCTATCGATTACGTTGAGTATGACTGTGTTACCTTCAGATGGAGGAAGGCCAGTGATAAAATCCAAAGAGATATGGGACCACGGTCTGCTGGGGGTAGGTAGAGATTGCAGAAGTCCCGCTGGAGGTTGGCTACCCGATTTGTTTCTGGCACATATGGAACATGCAGCTACGAACTCCTTAACAT